CTTTGGTGGTCACCTTTGAAAATTGTTCAAAGAATTTAATTCCATGCAGAACTCTGGTTGCCATGGCAACCAAAAGAAAAAACTTTAAATATCTTCTTCTAAAAAACCCAAAGAGCTAGAGCTAAGATATTTGGCATGAAACATCTTCTAGTGAGTGTCTACCAAGTTTGTTCAAATAAAAGCCCTTGGGTCAAAATTGGCCCCGCCTAGGGGGTCATTGATTTTCCCTATATGCATATAGTAAAAACGTAAAAAATCTTCTTTTAAAGAACCCAAAGAGCTAGAGCTAAGATATTTAGCATGAAACATCCTCTAATGGGTGTCTACCAAGTTTGTTCAAATAAAAGCCCTGGGGTCAAAATTGGCCCCACCCCAGGGGGTCATTGATTTTCCCTATATGCATATAGTAAAAACTTAAAAAATCTTCTTTTAAAGAACCCTAAGAGCTAGAGCTAAGATATTTAGCATGAAACATCCTCTAATGAATGTCTACCAAGTTTGTTCAAATAAGAGCCCTTGGGTCAAAATTGGCCCCGCCCCAGGGGGTCATTGATTTTCCTTATATGTGTATAGCAAAAACTTTAAAAATCTTCTTTGAAAAAAAAACAAATAGCTAGAGTTTAGATACTAAGCATGAAACATCTTCTAGTGAGTGTCTACCAAGTTTGTTTTTATAAAAGCCCTTGGGTCAAAATTGGCCCCGCCTCTGGGGTCATTTATTTTCCTTATATGTGTATATAGCAAAAACTTAAAAATCTTCTTTGAAAAAAACTCAAATAGCTAGAGTTTAGATAGCATCTTCTAGTGTGTGTCTACAAAGTTTGTTTAAATGAAAGCCCTGGGGTCAAAATTGGCCAGGCCCCGGGGACATTGATTTTCCATATATGTGTATAGCAAAAACTTAAAAATCTTCTTTGAAAAAACCCGAATAGCTAGAGTTTAGATATTTAGCATGAAACATTTTCTAGTAAGTGTCTACAAAGATTGTTCAAATAAAAGCCCTTGGGTCAAAACTGGCCCTGCCCCAGGTGTGTCATTGTTTTTAACTATATGTGTAAAGAAAAAACTTGACCAGCTAGACCTTAGATGTTTAGCATGAAACATCTTCTAATGGGTGTCTACCAAGTTTGTTCAAATAAAAGCCCTGGGATTTAAACTGGCCCCGCTCCGGGGGCCTATATACAGGTGAGCGACTTCAGGGCCATCATGGCCCTCTTGTATTTTTACATGGTGCCCTAAGTCATGCATATAAAAAACTTGCAACAAGGTCTTTTGCCTCAACATGAGGATTAATATTAAGAATCTGCAGATTTCACTTTTAAGAATTTGTATAAACACAAAAGATATGACTAGAATGAAAATTATTACCCAATTTTTGTGTCTGTATGAGATAATAAGTCAAGGTTGCTATCACTTGTACCTACTCTATATTTCAGTAGGGTATAAATTACTGATAATTATGCAAATATGGAACAATATCAAATTATACTATATATAATGGTCTTTGGACAGCCCCAAACCCTAATATCCCTTCAAAAATATTATTTAAGCTGCGTCTATTCTAGGATTCGAAAAACAGGGGGGATTTTTTATCGAAAAGTGAGAATTTATTACATTTGTTGATCTTTTTCCCTCTTTCTCTATGTAAATTTTCCCCCCTGCCTCTGAAAAATAGGGGGGAATTCTCAAAAATATGAGTGAATCCCCCCCCCCTCCTAGTATATCCACTGATTTAAGAAATCAAATTTACTTTCAAAAAGTAAACATATATTCTAACTCGATAGATAAAAGATATTCTTAACTTTCAAGTTATTGCAAAAGTAATCTATCTTAAGATAGAATAGTTTTGCACAATAAATATTCTGGAAAAAGTAGCTTTTCTAGTGCAATACTAGGCTATGTTAGCATGTAGGCAATAAAATGCATATTTTACACTTTTCTTGAAAAAATGAACATGTACACAACTCTATTTTTTGATAAGATTGGTTTTTCAAAAAATGAAATCAAAATAAAATAACATATTTTTTCCCTTTCCTACACAAGTTAGAATAGTCTTGCACCGAGCCCTCGGTATTTTTGTGCTAGAAATGCACAATTTTAATGTTTTAGCAAATATTGATTTCTTATAAGTAGCCTCTTGAATAATAAGATGTTCGCAGCATGAAATTTTCAATTTTTGATATATGACCAATTATGTACTTGAACACAATGATATACAAAAAATATAGATCTACCAGTTACACAAAATTGTGGATTTACACCATACAGTATACAGCAATTTACATTGGAGATTTCTACAAGAAATAGGAAAAATAAAAAGTTTTCAAATTTGTGTTAAATTTTGAATGATTGACTGAGATGATTTATGACTTTTAAGAAGGATTTGGTGTTAAAATGATATTTTTTTTTTTGCCTTACTACAACTATCACATGTCAAAATGGCCATTGAATTTTGGATATTTACGCAATAAAATATTATTATTTTATGCTCCCTGAAGCATATAGTCACCGCTTTGTCCGTCCGTCTGTCCGGGCGCACGAGAGGACACTTGTTGGGTACCTCCGACACAGGAGAGGACACTTGTTGGGTAATTTTATTCATTCCGTCAGTATTGTTGGGTTCTTTTGTTCTCTTATTGGATACTTTTAAACATAAGAAGCACCCAATAAATGACCATTCGTAGGAACGTCCGTACGTCCGCTTTTCTTGTCTGGGACATAACTTTGAAACAACAAGAGGAATCAACATGAAACTTTGTATAAAGATAGATCTCATTGAGAAGGTATGCAGTGCACAAGAACCGTTATTCTCCCTTGCCTAATTTTTGAATTATTGCCCTTTTTTATTTTGACACTTTGAACTTTGTCTAGGACATAACTCTAAAAGTATAAGAGATATCAACATGAAACTTTGTAGGTAGATAGCTCTCATTGAGTAAAAGCGCATTGTTAAAGAACCATAACTCTGCCTTGCCTAATTTTGAAGTAATTGCCCTTTGTTTATTTTTACTTTTTGACTTTTGTCCGGAACACAACTCTAAAACTATTAGAGGTATCAACATGAAACTTTGTAGGTAGATATATCTCATTGAGTAGGTGTGCAGGACTCAAGAAACGTAACTCTGCCATGCCTGATTTTTGAATTATTGCCCTTTGTTTATTTTTACGCTTTGAACATTGTCCAACATAACTCTAAAACTATAAGAGTTAACAACATGAAACTTTGCAGATAGATAGATCTCATTAAGTAGGTTTGCAGTGCTCAAGAACTGTAACTCTGCTATGTCTAATTTTTGAATTATTGCCCTTTGTTCATTTTTACTCTTTGAACTTTGTCTGGGACATAACTCTAAAACTATAAGAGTTATCAACATGAAACTTTGCAGGTAGATAGATCTCATTAAGTAGGTTTGCAGTGCACAAGGACCGTAACTCTGCCCTGCCTAATTTTTGAATTATTGCCCTTTGTTTTTTTTGACACTATGAACTTTATACGACATAACTCTAAAAGTATACGAGATATCAACATGAAATTTTGTAGGTAGATAGATCTCATCGGATGGAACTGCATTGCTAAAGAACCTTAACACAGCCTTGTCTAATTTTTGGAAATTTTCACTAAAGGCATAGAAAAAGGAAAGCAAACAATTCCCAGCAAAAATTTTCATTTTGTTTATTAAAATATGCAAAAATTTGCAGAAAAAAGCTACAGTTGACTCTCGATAGGTCAAAATCGCCTTACTCAAATTTCCGTGTCAAATTTCCTTTCTTTATCTTTGTACTTTAACTTCGCTTAGGTCAAATTTGACGTAAAAGTGACTTAAATCAGTATAAGGTCTTAATTGGTTTAATAGTTAGATAACTGAATTAATATGTACTTCTGGTTCACGATATTGCTACTTTTTTTTTTTGTCTGATGATTAATTCACATTCTCCAAGGTATAAGACATATTCTTGTTTAAATAGATGAGTTATTGTGCTTCTATAGTAATGAATTTTCTTGAGTTTTTATTGTAAACATGTGCTTAATATTATTACTGATGAATACTGACCAACTTGTTTTGCATTTATGTCATTGCTAGGAATGTTTGTATTTATGTTTCACTATAAATTTCAAATAATATCTTTCTGTTCATTTATAATTTGTAGTTGTAAGTGATAAAACGTCATTTCAACGGTTAAATATTGCTACATTGCCTTTATCAACAACAATAACAAACCTACTACTTTTGACATTCAGTCGGGCACATGTATATACATGAATATTTGTAAACATAATGGTAGCAGATCCACGTTACTCGAATTCCATTTCTCTCAAAGTAAAATGCCCAGTTCCTTGAAATTCGAGTTATAACCGAGTGTCAACTGTATATAAAAGTCAACAATCAATGTTATGGTGCTCCTTAAGGTAGCACACCACAGTAATGTAAGCCACATCTTCGAATGGCCAGAGAGGATTTCTTGGATATATTGACTATTCTGGATTTAAAAGATTGGTTGTATTTAATGTGCACTTTCAGCATGAAATTTGTTTTTGTAACATCTAATAAAATATTATGACCACTGGCAAATTCAAAAACATGGCCAGAAATCACATGCTGTTGATAATAGATGTCAAGGTTGCCATTTTTTGTAAACATTGCTTTAAAACAGCATGCACAGTAAAAAAAAAAAGTCATTTTAGAGGGGGGGGGGGGTACAAACATTAAGGAGTAGCAAAAAACCTTCAATGTTAAGCACCAGTTTCTTTGAGATATTTTACATGTATAGGGAGTTGCTAGAGCAGAGACGGTGTTTCTTTAGCCTGTATAGTTGCAGGTATTTTTTGCCAGAGGGACGAAATGTATTGTTTTAAGTTTGGTCCACAGTAAATTTTGGGCTTCAGTAGAATAAATTGCAACTTTTTTTACTGCCTCACTATTGTAGATTAGATAATTTCATTGTATATTTGCAACCTTATGTCATATATGTTCTCAATAAAATGTGTTTTCTTTTTCCAGGTTGTGTAGTTTGGTATCAGAATTATCAGACGTATTGGTTGTAGGACATTGACGACAGAAACTTGAATTTTACTATGGAGTGCTACCAAATGATCAGCAGCCGGATAAACGGAGCAAAAAACAATCAAATTATGATTTTATTTCAAAAGTAAGAATATAAATGTACATATCCATTTACAATCAATGAAACAAAAAACTTAGACATAGTTATAAAGATCTTTTTTAATTGTCAGTTATTCCAAGGACAATAAAGTACTAAGCAATTTTGGATACTACGTAAAAGAGAAATATAGGAACAAATTTTGTAAAAACGAATAGTCAAACATATTCGAACATGGAAAACAAAATATGGAACATCAAATTCCTTATTCGTTCCTGGCCCTCATAAAAACTTCTGAATTGACAAAGAAAGGCTAGAAGTTAGATATTTTGCATGAAACTTTGGTTAGTCACAGGATCTCTACCAAAAATGTTAAAATGATAGCCTTGGGGTCAAAATGGCCCCGTCTCGGGGGTCATCGATTTTCATTATGTACAGACAATAAAAACAGAAACTAAAACAAATGTTTTCTGAATTGGAGAAAGGTGCAGCTTAGGTATTTGATAAGAAACATTGTTTGGTGGACCTGTATCAAGATTGTTTGAATATAACCCTTTGGTCAAAATTTTTCCCTGCCCAAGGGGACACAGTGACCTACTAGTGCTTTCTTGTCCTTTGATCTACAGCCATGAAATTAGGACCATGTGCACAGTTTGAGATGTAAAATTGAATTTTAACATCAGCTAACCTAGATTTTTTTCAGGTGACTTACTGTCTTGTCCATTGATGTATAGTCATGAAATTTAGGCCATGTGAAATATGACCTTGACCACCAAATTCACTAGACTCAACTGCATTATGGCAAAGTTCAATTGTAAAGAAACAAAAGCAAAGTCTTCTGTTTCTACACTACTATTTAGTGTTGTATTAATGTGGTGGCATAGCATTTTTCACAAATGCAATCTTGTTGCTACATGAAAATGTACTTGTATTTGGGTATGAATAAGAGTTGAGAAGTGAAACATTATAATGTTGTTGTTTTATTTTTTATGCCCCCTGGCATATAGTAATTGAACCGTCCGTCCGAGCCAACATTTGATTATTATGAGCTTCATTCCGTAGTTAAATAAAGAACATAAACTCATAAAATTCAAATTAAGAGCTATTTTTTTGTTTTTATGAGCTTATTTTGCTTATGGACGTTGGTCCAGGTGGTGTTAATGAGCTCATTTGCCTCATAAACATCAAATTTTGGTATGTCCGTCCATCCGTCTGTCCGTACAAGGTTAACCTAGAACGGCAAGTTGGATTTTTCTTAAGTTCTACCTGTACCAATGGCTTCATAATTTATACACTTACTAATCCATACAAAGTATATGATCTGGGCAAGTTACATAACTATGGCTTCCATTTGCACCAAGTTATGGCCCTTTTCAGCACTTAGAAAATGAATAATGGTTAACCTAAACCGGGAAGTTGGAAATATCTTATGTTCTATCTGAACTAATGGCTTAATAATTTCCACACTTACTTATCAATACAATGTACATGATATTGCCAAGTTATATAAATGTGCCATCCATATTTCCCAGTAATTTCCCTTTTTATCACTTTGAAAATAGGGCCTTGTATGGTTAACCTATTCCGCCAAGTTGGATTTATCAAAAAATTTCACCTAATTACTTAATTTATTTAATGATATCTTTCATATTTGGTAGGTGGATACCTTTAACGGTCCTCTAATTTTTTGTGGCGTTAGGCGTCTCTAGGTCAAGGTCAAGGTCACTTGTGTAAAAAAATAAATCTAAACATTTCTGCTCATACAGCCTTTATTTTTAAGTTAATGTCTTTCATGTTTATAATAGTTGAGGGAGGTCCTCTTCCTTTTCCTTTAGTAAGGGGTCATTTGGGTCAAGGTCACCAATGTCAAAAATAGATTTTTTACACTTTTACAGGTGTATTAACCTTATTCTAGCGCCAGATGTCTTGTATATTTTGTAGGAACATAAAATTGAGGTATTCTCATTTGGATGGAGGTAGGGGTCAGTTTGGTCAAGGTCACCAGTGCTAAAAATAGATTTTTACACTTTTGCTCATACAGCCTTTATTTATTGACAGATTTGTATTATAATTGGTAGGAAGATAACTTACATGGTATTCTTCCTTTGGATGGAGTTAGGGGTCAGTTGGGTCAAGGTCAACAGTGCTAAAAATAGATTTTTTACACTTTTGCCCATACAGCCTTTATTTATTGACAGATTTATTTCATATTTGGTAGGAAAATAACTTGCATGATATTCTTCCTTTTGATAGAGGTAGGGGTCAGTTGGTCAAGGTCAAGGGTGCCAATTATAGATTTCTACACATGATTGGTTTTCTTCCATACAAATTAGCTACTTCACTCTCTAAAGTTAAATTATTGACAACAGTGAGCACAGGGGCATGTGTGTTTATCAAACACAGATTCTTGTTTTTGTCTTTATTTCTAATTTTATGCTTTATCTCTTTTGTATTTAACAGGATTTTATTTGGATGCCTTTTGTTGTAAGATGTACAAATCATGGATGTTGAATTGACCCAGGGACAAACCAGATCTAATCGTAACAGGAAGTACTACAGTAAGCCTTTAAACTTAAAACTTAAACCAATTTATCATATAGCTGTCATTGATTAAAAAAAACAGATGTTTTTGTATTGTTCATATTTTTCTGTTGTTTGATAATCAATATAGATTTGGGGGGAAAAAATCAATGGATCTTTGGACCTCACCTGATTTTCTTTAAAAAACAAAAACAAAGTGAGGCATTGCTGAAACTTTCATAACCCAGAATCTGATTAAAAACTATTTAAAAATTGTTAAAATGTTAAGATTATAATGTAGTGTTTTTATTTTTCAGTGGATAATAAAGGAATTTAATGTCAGCAAAGATGCTTAGAAAAATTTTGAAGGTGAGTGATTATTGAGTTTTTGTATTTTTAATTTATCATGTACTTGTGCATATTTTCCCTCATTGCTGTTGAAACATCAACACAGTCTTAAAAAGTTCTTAAATGTGTGTCTCTTTCTTTAATAGTGCTTAAAATGAAAACAATTCATAAAAGTGCTTTAATTTGTGTCTGTTTCTTTTAAAGAGCTTATAATGAATGTAGGTCCTATAGTATCCTTGAAATTGGTGTCTCTCTCAAAAAGTGGCTGAAAAGTGCTTAAATTTGTCTGAAAACATGCTTGAAAATGAAATAGGATGACAGAGTGCAATGGTAAAAAATGTTGATAGTTTTTAACAGATGATAATAATAATAATAATAATATCTTTATTTAAAGAAGGTTACAAATTAAGAACAAACAGTAGCAATTATATATATCTTATTTCCAATGTGGCCTTCTGAAATAGAAAACAACAACAACAACAGGACATGCATAGGTAGAAAAATGAATGTATAATATGTAACTTTTAGAATAATAGAACTCATATACTTTAGACAGACACTCAACAATTTGTTTAAACATATATGTATATTGCATCATTCGTTCGTTTGTTCATTCATTTATTCATTCATTCATTCATATGAACATTAAGATATGTTTTGTATTTTTCTTTAAAACATTTAAGGTTATTAACATTACGAATATTTAAAGGTATATTGTTCCAAATGTTCAAATAGGGATAGTTGCAATGATATTATTGGAGTTAATGATAATATTATACTAGTAATAAATATCATTTAATGATGTAATGAGTGATGGTGATGATGATGATGATGAAAAAATGATTGTTATAGAAAAAGGTATTGTTGAAATTGATGTAATAAGAATTGTTGAATATATTAAATATTATAGCAATATAAGATAAAGTTACCATAGTAATGTTATTGAATATAATTGAAATGTTGTTGAATCAAGGTGTTGAGGAGTTGAAAATGATTGTCATAGAAATACAGATAGTTGAAATGATTTTATTGAAGGAGGAGGAGGATAAAATTATTGTTATAGAAATAAAGATGTGATACTTAATTAGCAAGTAATATCATATAATGATATAAATGTTATATCAAATGAGATAGATGATGATGATAATGTGATGCAAAACACAAACAACAATTATTGAATTATTGCCCCCACTATAGGGGGGGGGGCATTTTGATTTACCCTTGTCCGTCCGTCCGCCCATTCCCTTTTTATGTCGCACGTAAATCAAAAAGTAATTGACCTAGAGTCATGAAACCTTACCAGGCCTCGACACTAACTTTTTTAGCAGGTGGTACGCCGGACCACTAGATTTGAAAGTTAGGTGGTCCTTCCAGAAGTCAGGTGGTCAGTTATCATTATTATATCATTTTACTGCAAATGTAGAAAAAAATGTTTAAACTTTATGACAAAGATGTATTATTAACCTTTAAAGAAAACAGATATTTTTAGATATATATTTTTCATCTAATCAGAAAAGGGAGAGCAAGTCAGTAGGTATTTTATCGTAGAGTTATTTGTTTATTTGTTTTTATCTCAGTCAAAAATACACAACAGAGCTCTTATTTATGTTAACTTTTATATTAAAGTGATTTCTCCCTCAACTCAAGTTAGGGAATAGTGAAACCATTTGTGTCTGTTGTTTTCTTACTGTTAATAAATATTCATTGCTGATTCGTGGTACGTCTTATAATCATGATAATAACATAGTATCTTTTATAGATTAACATTTTTAATGGAACTAATAAATTATCTTATTCTTGTCTTTGAAAACAAGGAAATATCTAAATTATTAAACTAATGACAACGTTATTATTTACTATAACTTATCTTATTTTTCTCGCAGATTTATAATACAGAATTTTACCTCCCTGTTGCTTGATATTCATTTTTGACATTGGGTATTTTTAACCTTTTAAAATATTTTTAACTCTAGAAGAAACAGATCTCTTATCGTTAAACAGTTAAAATAAAGATAAATAGCATAGAATTACTAGATGTATTTTTTCCAGTTCCCTTCATTTGCTGCCGTTATTCAAGTATCTGAAATTAACGTTTAGCCAATATCATATAATTACCATCATCGGATACTCACGGTTGATTAACATGTAACATAACATAAATGTTAATGGTTCCGCCGTGGTTATCAGACGATGCATAATTACTAGCACCATTTGAATGAATTTTGTACCTAAATTTATATCACAAAAGAACCATATACATGTACATCGGACATAGATTTTAAACAAAATTATATAACATGTTTTTGACCAAATCGCCATTCTCCCAAATGAGCCTTGCATCAACCAGAAAATTCAAGTGGTCCGACGGACCAGTGGGTTTTAAAATTAGGTGGTCCTTGCCAAAATCAAGTGGTCTCGGACCAACGGACCACCGCTAATGTCGAGGCCTGCTTACAGGAAATTTGATCAGCATGTGAAGTTGTGCACCTGGGTATTTTCATGTGGATATATTTAATAATTTTAGAGTCATTGCGCTTGAATTAGTAAAATTTTCCAATTTTCAACTTGTGTCGCATGTAACTAAAAAGAGCATGTGGTCTTGAAACCTTACAAGAATGTTGCTCAGCATGTGTGGTTTTGCATCTGGGTATTTTCATGTGGATGTTTTTAGTATTTTTAGAGTTATTGCCCTTGACTTAGTAAAAATTTACAATTTTCAACTTGTGTCGCATGTAACTAAAAAAGTATTCGACCTAGAGTCATGAAACCTTACAAGAATGTTGCTCAGCATGTGTAGTTATGCAACTGGGTATTTTCGAGTGGATATTTTTAGAGTTATTGCCCTTGAATTTAGTAAAAATTTCCAATTTTCAACTTGTGTTGCACGTAACTAAAAAAGTATTTGACCTATAGTCATGAAACCTTACGGGAATGTTGCTCAGCATGTCTAGTTGTGCACCTGGGTATTTTTGTGTGGATATTTTTAGAGTTATTGCCCTTGACTTAGTAAAAATTTACAATATTTAACTTGTGTTGCACGTAACTCAAAAAGTTTATGACCTGTAGGTCTGAAAGTTTACAAAATGTTGGTCAGCATGTGTACTTATGCACCTTGGGGTTTTCTTGTGGCTTTATTCAGTATTTGTAGTATTTTCCCTTTACTTAAAAGATTTTTGGTTTTCAACTTGGGCACATGTAGCTAAAAAAAAATTTTTGACCTAGAGACATAAAATTGACAAATCGGTGGAGTGTGGGGGTACCCGTGTCATATGGACACATTTCTAGTTTATGAATAATTATATAAGTTTTAATCATATTTATGATAAATAAGATTCACGGTTGTGGCAGAAAAGGGCTTTAAATGAAAAGTCATTAGTCTTACTTAATTAAGAAACCTTGCAATGCGGGACATATTGACAAGTGCAGGTACATTAAAATTTTAAAATCTAAAGAAATATTAAAACCAAAATTTTGCCTGATGCACTGTTGTAAAGCTTGAATAGTATTATTGTTCTGTATGAAGATTTTGGGTAACATGAATAGTATTATTGTTCTGTATGAAGATTTTGGGTAACATGAATCGTATTATTGTTCTGTATGAAGATTTTGGGTAACATGATTATTCAACATATTTGTAGATAAAACCTGAGGACTGTTCACAAGAATTTTAATAGACTTGTTACTATAAATAGTAAACAATTAAACCATGATTTCAATTTATTTTCAGTGTCATGTAACCAATCATGAGTTTGCAGCCATGAGTGGACTGAAGTCATAATCATTATTGGCCCACTGAAGGTTAACAGAACTTAAACACATGCAAAAATGGTCAAATATGACATCATAATTGACATTATCAAAGAATTAAAATTTGACTAGGATTTTGTGATTTTATCTAATTTGATAACACATAGATTTAATGAAAATCCTAAATGAAACAAACAAACACAAAATGGATTTGAATAACTGGAGTCTATGCATCTCTTAGCTCCTGTAAGTGAGTTGCTCCTTTTTTGTGCCCCCACTTTAGTGGCGGGCATTTAGATTTACCCTTTTCCGTCCGTTCTCTTTTGTGTCGCACGTAACTCAAAAAGTATTTGACCTAGATTCATGAAACTTAACAGGAACGTTGATCAGCATGTGCAGTTTGCAATTTTCAACTTGTGTTGCATGTAACTCAAAAAGGATATGACCTAGAGTCAAAAAGGATTTGACCTAGAGTCATGAAACTTCACAGGAATGTTGATCAGCATGTTCAGTTGTGCACCTGGGTATTTTCGTGTGGATTTATCCAGTATTTTTAGAGTTATTGCCCTTGACTTAGTAAAAATTTGCAATTTTCAACTTGTGTGGCATGTAACTCAAAAAGGATTGGACCTAGAGTCATGAAACTTTACAGGCATGTTCATCAGCATGTTCAGTTGTGCACCTGGGTATTTTCATGTGGATTTATCCAGTATTTTTAGAGTTATTGCCCTTGACTTTGTAAAAATTTGCAATTTTCAACTTGTGTGGCATGTAACTCAAAAAGGATTGGACCTAGAATCATGAAACTTTATAGGAATGTTGATCAGCATGTGTAGTTGTGCACCTGGGTATTTTCGTGTGGATTTATCCAGTATTTTTAGAGTTATTGCCCTTGACTTAGTAAAAATTTACAATTTTCAACTTGTGTCGCATGTAACCCAAAAAGGATTTGACATAGAGTCATGAAACTTCTCAGGAATGTTGCTCAGCATGTGTGGTTGTGCACCTGGGTATTTTCGTCTGGATTTATTTAGTATTTTTAGAGTTATTGTGCCCCCACTTTAGTGGTGAGCATTTAGATTTACCCTTGTCTGATTGTCCGTCTGTCCTTCCGTTCGTCCGTTCTCTTTTGTGTCGCACGTAACTCAAAAAGTATTTGACCTAGAGTCATGAAACTTTACAGGAATGTTGAGCAAGTGTAGTTGTGCACCTGGGTATTTTCGTCTGGATTTGTTTAGTATTTTTAGAGTTATTTCCCTTGACTTAGAATTTTTTTGCAATTTTCAACTTGTGTCGCATGTAACTCAAAAAGAATTTGACATAGAGACATTAAACCTTACGGGAAGGTTGCTCAGCATATTTGGTTTTGCACTTGTGGATTTATCCAGTTATATATATATATATGTAGAGTTATTTCCCTTGACTTACTAAAAACTGTTTTATTATGTTGTTTTTTGTTCCTTGAGTGCTTGAGTTAGAATCAACCAACTTTACAGGAATAATGATCAACATCACTAAATTACAGGAATAATGATTCACATCACTGTGAAGCTATGCACCTATGGACACATTTCTAGTTTATCCCATGTGTTGCTTTTGTAACAACTGAGGTTACTACTCAACGTTAGCCAAAATCATATTTCCGGTTTCGGCACCTTATAACCTATATTGTGTTGGTCCTATATAACGCAATTATCATGGCACCATCCAAACTACTGCGTAATGATCACACACATGGTAATATTTCCAGACTTGCAATAATTATGTGACAGGGAATTAATTAAAATCTCTAAAATTTTACATGCACTGTTCCAAATTCAAAGCAGGGCAAATTCACCAGGTTATTTTATTGTTACAGATGCTGTTAAGGTAGTTTTGGCAATACCTGGAATAATGCTTCAGAAGATTGCTGGAGGTCTCTTCTTGTTACCAAGAAAAAGGTAAAGCCAAATTATTTTGAAACAGAACCCACATAGCTAATAGTGGACAAGATCACTCCCTCCTCTGCTTAGGAAAGGAATTCTTTAAGTTCTGTTAAGCTGCTGTTAGTGATTCTTATATTAAAAATATTGGCTCTTTAGTAAAATGCTAACTCCATCAAGTTAAGAGCTAAAGGAACTAGTGCCTAAATATAATGAGTCTTGAAGACATTTTCATGAGTTTTCACATACAGCTCTTGTCATAATCTTATGATTGATTCTTGTAAAAAAATTGTGACCTAAAATGTCTTTGTTTTTTAACACACATGAATATTGTATGAAAACAGCATAAAATATTTTAGGAACCAAGTATTATTCTGTTGTTTTTAGTATGATTTTAACTGTACTTAATTTTGTGTGCTTGGTGCCAATTACTCTTGGGGAAATGTTACAAAATGTCTTAAAATATGGATAGCTGGCAGTATGGAAATTATACACATCATTTTAATGTTGACTATAGGGAGTTTATTGAGAGCTGTCATAATTACCAAACGTCAGATGAACCTTGTCAAAATGTCTGATTCTAGTTTTAATGCTTTTTCACTAGAAGGTCTTTATTTCTTAACGTATTTACTTCAAATTTTAAATATAAGTTTCTGGTCATCAACCACATCCTATGTGACAAGGTTTACAACTTTAGCACACAAATTATCAGAATTACCTCCCTTGAACTTAGAATTTCCATGATAAAAAAATGTTGTTTTTAGCTTGACTATTTGAAGAATATGAGAGCTATTGTAGTCGCCCCGGTGTCCGCGTCTGCGTTGGTTAAAGTTTTTTGTAAAGTCAAATATCTCAATTATTGCTTGAGATATTCAATTGAAACTTACAATACTTATTTATAGTAACAATGTACATCAGATTGACAAGTTGGATAACTCTGCCTACAATATTGACAGAATTATGCCCCTTTTTAACTTAGAAATTTTGGTTAAAGCTTTTTGTAAAGTCAAATATCTCAATACACCAATAAACACTTTCCCCAACTAGCAGACGACAGGCTATTCTTATCAAAGTTGTACAAATTTTGTCCCTAGTGTCAAAATTGGCCCCACCCAGGGGGGTCATAGGTTTTTCTAATATGTATATAGTAAAACATAAAAAATCTTCTTCTCTGAATTGGCAAAGGCTAAGGTAAGATATTTGGCATGAAACATTGTGTGGTAGACCTCTACCAAGATTGTTCAAATAATGGCCCTCGGGTCAAAATTGGCCCCGCCCTCAGGGGTCATTGATTTTCATTATATACATATAGTGAAAACTTGAAAAATCTTCTGGTCTGAAAGTAAATGGCCTAGAGCTTTGATATTTGGTCTATGGTATCATCTATAGGTCCAAAACCAAAGTTGTTCAAATTTTGTTCCTAGAATTAAAATCGGCCCCGCCCTGGGGGGTCATAGGTTTTTCCTTATATGTATATTGTAAAACCTAAAAAAAATCTACTTCTCTGAATTTGTAAAGGCTACAGGTTAGATATTTGGCATGTCTTTGATTTTCCCTATATGCATATAGTAAAAACTTAAAAAATCTTCTTTTAAATAACACAAAGAGCTAGAGCTAAGATATTTAGCATGAAACATCTTCTAATGGGTGTCTACCAAGTTTGTTCAAATAAAAGCCCTGGGGTCAAAATTGGCCCCGCCCCAGGGGGTCTTTGATTTTCCCTATATGCATATAGTAAAAACTTAAAAAACCTTCTTTTAAATAACCCAAAGAGCTAGAGCTAAGATATTTAGCATGGAACATGTTCTAATGGATGTCTACCAAGTTTGTTCAAATAAAAGCCCTAGGGTCAAAATTGGCCCCGCCAAGAAGAGGGTCATTGATTTTCCCTATATGCATATAGTAAAAACTTAAAAATCTTCTTTTAAAGAACCCAAAGAGCTAGATTTAAGATATTTAGCATGAAACATGTTCTAATGGATGTCTACCAAGTTTGTTCAAATAAAAGCCCTGGGGTCAAAATTGGCCCCGCCAAGAAGAGGGTCATTGATTTTCCCTATATGCATATAGTAAAAACTTAAAAATCTTCTTTTAAAGAACCCAAAGAGCTAGAGCTAAGATATTAAGCATGAAACATGTTCTAATGGATGTCTACCAAGTTTATTCAAATAAAAGCCCTTGGGTCGAAATTGGCCCCGCCCCAGGGGGTCATTGATTGTCCCTATAAAAATTATGCATATAGTAAAAACTTTTTATCTTCTTTTAAAGAACCCAAAGAGCTAGAGCTAAGATATTTAGCATGGAACATGTTCTAATGGATGTCTAATAAAAGCCCTAGGGTCAAAATTGGCCCCGCCAAGAAGAGGGTCATTGATTTTCCCTATATGCATATAGTAAAAACTTAAAAATCTTCTTTTAAAGAACCCAAAGAGCTAGAGCTAAGATATTTAGCATGAAACATGTTCTAATGGATGTCTACCAAGTTTGTTCAAATAAAAGCCCTGGGGTCAAAATTGGCCCCGCCCCGAGGGTCATTGATTTTCCTTTTGTGTGTATATAGCAAAAACTTAAAAACTCTTCTTTGAAAAAAAAAAACAAATAGCTAGAGATTAGATATAGAGCCTTTATATATTGACAGATTTATTTCATATTTGATAGGAAAATAAGTTGCATGATATTCTTCCTTTGGATGGAGTTAGGGGTCAGTTCCAGTGCAAAAAATAGATTTTTTACACTTTTGCCCATACAGCCTTTATTTTAAATATTGTTACTGACAAGAATCTGAGACGGTGGCATTTGTGTTTAACAAACACGTTCTTGTTTTATAGTGTTAACCAGTGTAAAATATATAGAATATATTTTTATACCATTGATTTTGTTACATAAGTATAGTGCTGAAAAGCTTTCAGGGCTTCGTTTCTATATACTGAGAGTAATGTATGTTTATATCATAATTGATTTTTTTTATTGTCTTTACTGTGACCAGCATTTTAGTCAAACATACTGTCTCCTCTGACAGCTGTTGTTATTATAATTCCCCGCCTAAAAGGCAGTAGGGGATATAAAAATAGTCTCCGTCCGTCCGTCTGTCCTTACGTCCAACCATCCGAACTTCCGTCCCACATTTTTGTCCAGAGCATATCTCAAGAGTATTTGAGATATCAACTTGTAATTTCATAGGTGGATAGATCTCATTGAGAAGGATTGCAGTGCACAAGAATGATGTTTCTACCCTGCATATAATTTTTCAGTTATTGCCCTTTGTTATTTTTCAAACTTAATTTTGTCCAGAGCAACCTTTGAGATATCAGCATGAAACTTCATAGGTGGATAGATCTCACTCAGGAAATATGCAGTGCATAAAAGAGATAACTCTACTCTTCATAATATTTGAGTTATTGCCCTTTGTTTTTTTCATACTTAATTTTTCACTCAGTGTTTTTTTCATACTTAATTTTTCACCTGAGTGGAGCATAACTCAAAAAAGTGTTTGAAATGTCAACATGAAATGTCATAGGTGGATAGATCTTATTGACGAGGAATGCTGTGCACAAGAATAATAACTCTACCCTTTATAATTTTTGAGTTGTTGCCCTTTGTTATTTTTCATACTTTTTGTCCGGAGCTCTTAATTGTGTTGTAGATATCAATTTGAAAGTTCATAGGTGGATAGATCTCATTAAGGAGGAGTGCAGCACATTAAAATGATAACCTATCCTGCATTATTTTTTCAGTTTTTGCCCTTTGTTATTTTCAGCCACCAGTATTCACATAGGTTTCAAATCTGTAATCACTTCAGCTATCAGTTTAAATTACCAAAATACCTCTTAAAATTGAATTATTCTGCTCTACTACATATTACATTCTCCCTATGAGCAAACACATTTGGTGGGGGATGGCCATGTTAACATATGGCTCTTGTTCATATTGATTTGATAAAAAGTCATAGTAATTTATTTCTTTGTCCACTGAACAAAGCTAATACATTTTTTGAAAACAGTTAAATTTGAAATGGCTACTTTATATTTCATAATGAAAAGGATATTCTGAATTAATAATTGTTTTGATTTTTCTATATTGTAGGAATGGAGAGAAACATGGAAACATTAGTGAAGACACTACAAAATGGAGTAAAGACGGAATGTCCAGTCACTAGAAGCTGTCATACAAAATTACCAACAAAACAAAAAGAAATTGATCTTGTATATAAGAAATTGATAGATTAACTTTGGAACACTTGATTATGATCAATCTGATAATGTGATATGATAATTATGAAATACAAGTAAAATTAATAAAAAGAAAAATAAATTATCCAGTAAGAAATAAGATAAAACAATAGAGAAATATTTTTCAAAATTAAAAGTACAAGGTCTATTATCTGAAACCAGTTTAAATAACTCAGAACTTACAGATATTTATTAAATTTACCCTGTTAATATACTTTCAATGAATTTGCTCAAATCATAAGTTTATTACAAACATTTATAAAGGCCCATCAAGCATAAAAAAATGCTATCATTTTAATTATTCAAAAACTGTTTACTTTTGGTGTTTCCAAACAGTTTCTCATTGGCCATATACCCAAGCCATCATTTGCATTTTGACAATTACGGGCAGTACAGTTTTTAATGTTTTAGTAATTTGCATAAGCAAGTCAAAATACCATTTTGCTATCTTTGTCACAAATTATTTCACAGTCAACACTATTTTTTCATGTGATAAGCATCTCACATGCTTTAAATCCATTATAACAACATTATAAAACACATGTTGGCCTTTTGTACAAATAAAAAAAACTCATTTATTTAGACATTCTTTGCCCTTAAAACATGTTTAGATTTAAAATGTACGGTAATTGAAATCTTGGTAAGGCCATGTTCATGGAGGTTTTGGCAAAATCTATAATGTAAAATTGTCAATTTTTTAAAATAGAGTATTTTTAGTATTTAGAGTATTTCGTCCCAACACTTGAGAGTTATCTCAATAAAATCATGATTCATGGTGTTTTTGGCAAAATCTTTAATGTAAAATTGTCTAATTTGAATAATTAATCTGTAATTGATATAAATATTTCTCATCACTTGAGAGTAACTGTTCATGTTCAATGTTGATTAGCATTCAGCTAAACATTTGCCTAAAAAATTAGGACATTCTTTTTAGATATACAGTTACGAAGTAAAGACGACATATGATAATAAAACAAACCTGCAAATAATATAATTTCCAATAATAATATATGATGATTTGAAATTCAAATTATTAAAAGTATATGTAGGTACAGCATTCAAAATTAATTCATTACAAGATTTAAGAAAGCTATTCTTTTTGGTGGCATAAGTTTTTAAAACATTTTGTACAGATGGGCATGAGCGTTGGCTTAAAAAATTTGGATTCTTAAAGACCACTATTTGATAAAATGATACAAAATAATGATCATCTGCAATTAAATCTTTACAATAAATACATCAATCTTTGTGGAATAATGTTTGATTTTTGAATTTTTTCAGAGCAATTTTATTGGCTTGTCTTTTTGGTATTTTTTCTTTTCTTAATTTTTTTTTTACTTTCTGCCTTTATAAAAGTCATTTCTCACTGCATTTTCGCTTGTTCTATAATAAATAACCAACGTACATGTGAATTCTCAGTGCTAACAATATAACAATATTTAACTATCGGTTAAATAATTTTATAAGGCAATCAAAGCACAAAAAATATTAAACATAGACAAGCTTTCGAATTTTAGCTGAAAAAATTTCAAAAGCAAAAATAAAAATGGATAGAAAATGAGATAAAAAAAAACTAAGGAAGAATTAAAGGTTGTTTTACCAGTACATTATAAAAATTACTTATAAAATATTTTACTAAATTTTTTAAGCTGACTGTTTTTCCCTAAAACTAAAGGTTGTTTATTTTATTTCCTTTGTCATGCTGCAGTTACTCTCAATGTTCTTATACAAATGTAAAAAAAAATAGCTAAACCTGATAACATTTAAAAATTCTTAAAATATCTCCTCTGGATTTAATATACATTGTACTTATAATTGATAGTCAATATTATTAACTTTAAAAAAATCACAATTTAATCATATTGTTTTTGATTGAATTAAATAAGATATAAAATTATAAACATTTTTTTTTTAACCTCTGCTATGCTAAATATATGAAAATAACTTGTTTGATGAGACCATTTATCATTTTGAGGGAAAATTTAAAACATGCACTGACTGATATAGACCAGTGTAGACTGTGCAGACCACGATAATACGGTACTTGATGTTTCGACTGCCCAGGTATTATGGGTGTAAAACATCTTTACTTTAGTGAAAATAAAAAAATGAATATATTTAATACACATTAAGTCTTTTCTCTCTGTAAAAAGGGTAAATATGTGTTTTTTAATGTTGTAAGAATAGATTTAGAACATGAAAGGTTTGCTTATCATCTGAAGGAAAGAGTGCGGAATGTGAAATAACTTGTAATAAAGATAGCCAAATGTATACAAAGTAGATTTTTGAGACCTATAAAAAGAACTGATTAACTTATACTAATTGCCAAACTGCAAAACAAAACTGAAATAAAAACTGAAAGCATTACTGAATGGGCCTTTAAGCTAAAAATAGTTGAGGGCCACTCAAGTTTACTGACCTTGAATTTGTTATTTCAGTTCAATCCATGGGCAAATAATTTTTCCATGAGCTTTACAAATTTAGATTTTACTATTGGTTTATATTTTTCATTTTATCCTTAGTCACAGTGTTTATAAATGTCCATTTTTAAATGAATTGGCAAAGCTTTAAGAATAGAAGATGAAAACACAGCCGCTACCAATTATTAAGATATTGCAGAATCACTCTGCTACAAGAAAAGCAGAAAATGTAATACATTGCACACTTCAATTAGTAATTATCTGCCCTTGATATCAGCAAAAAGTTCTAATTAAAGGGCAGATGACTGAAAAAACAAGATCATTTGCTTAAAATATTTTTGTCATAGCTGCACACAATTATTGGGACACTTTGATTTAATTTTAGTACTTTAATCACTGTTTTCTTTATTCATTTATTAAATTATTTTAATAAAGAGTAAGACATTTTGCATATTATATAATATGCCAGCTTAAAATTTGGAACAGTCCATTAACAAGCAATTTCAGTACGAAAATATGTAAATTGTGTAACAAAAGCATATAACTTGGTCAGATTAACTCATCAAGTACAGTTTAATAATGATAGGCTTATTACACTATTGCATACAGGGAATACTGGAAGTATAGGAAGGTGTTCTATAGTCTGCTAATATTAATCTTATGTGGAAACTATTTAATAAGTACTGATAGAATAAAAAGACAGAAAAAATGCAGAAATGCAGAAAAGAAAGTAGTTATATACCTTTGATCCAAGTTTAAGAATGTTTGCAAACATGCATTCAACACCTTATAAACATTTTTAAATATTTGAACCATTAATATAATTTGAAAGTATAAAGGGGTGATCGTACTTATCCCAAAATTTATTTCCTAATACAATAATGTCCTTTAGTTATTAGCAGGGGAGTGCACTCTAATTGATTTTATCCCTCCCCCAAGAGTAACTGACCTTTGGCCCACTAAGGCCATTTGCAATAAGCTGGGGAGTGCACTCTAACAGACCGTTTTTCTCCCCCACAAGAGTTACTTCCCAATAACGCTATTTGCAGTAAGCAGGGAAGTGCACTCTTAACACCTTATTCTTCCCCCAAGAGTTACTTCTCTTAGGACTACTGTCGCCATTTGCAATAAGCAGGGGAGTGCACTCTTAATAGGTCTCATTCCTCCAAAAAAGTAAAATCTCTGGGCCACAGACGTCATTTAGTTATAAGCAGGGCAGTGCACTCTAACAGACCGTTATTTTGATATTTCAAAATATCATACTTCTGACCGAGACACCGTATATTTCTGTACAAAATATTAATGGCTGGATAACCAAATTACAGGTAATAGCTTATATGTTGTAAAAAGGCCTATTGACTCGAATAATGGAGTACCGTACAACACTGAATTCACCGCATTCTTTTTCCGAACCGTTTTTAAAAACAAAGTTCAATGTTTAAAAATTTCGAAGTGTAAAAAAGAAAAACAATGTTCAATATTTTAAAAAACAAAGATCGCGATACTGAAATAAGACTTGGAACGGTCTAAGTATGTGATACCGATTTATTTCCTGTTAGGCTGCTAACTTCAAAAATTTCGAAGCATCAAAATGAAAAAAATCAATGTTATTGTTCAACATCTTAAAAAATAAAGATCACGATATTGAAAAAAGGCGTGGAATGATCTAAAAAAAAAGTGCTACTAATGTATTTTCCGACTGTTTTTATGTTTGTAATATTTAAAAAATTGCAAAATGATTATTGCTCATGAATCCTCGTCGCAGACATATTTATGATAACAAACACATAGTACTTTTGTTAAGAACTACTGGCAACATGGCAAAGCCTGTTGTTTCAAACTGGCCTTAAGAAAGAGAAAAATAAACGGTGATCCAAGTGCAGTAAAATCGTGTGTTCCATTTCTGATAGTTTGGTATCACAATTTGCAGAAAAATCCCAGAAGTGTAGTTATTATTAGTAATTTTAAAGCACACAAATAAGGATAGCGACCTAATTCTGCATATATACCTGCGTTACGTGTATAATATAATAGTGTATGCTTGACAACAGCGCTTCTCGACAAATCTAACAACAAGTAGTTCTCAAAACTTTAAAAGAAAGAAATATTTTTATTTTGTTACAAGTATCTAACAACTTACAATGCATTCCAAGTTTAGATGAATATAAATTAATAAATGAAAATTGCTCGATTAACCTAAATTAAAATTCTGTAGAAACCCTCTGGTCATGCAAAATTCCATATGTATCAAACTCAAACAACTGTTATAGCGCAGCCGCTGCAACTGAATTATAGTACTTCAAAATACACTTATACAAGAAAATACATACAGATACAATTTACGATTTAGATTGCAAAGAGCAGAAAATACCACTGAGCTTGGAGCCGTTTGATTTGATATAGGTTGCTAACAAATCACAAATTACGGTTTGATGCAAAAACCTGTTCAGTTTTTTTTTCGTTTTTATTTCTTCTTATTACAATTTAAAATAGTGTTTTAGTCATGAATGAAGTGTGCGGAGTCAAAATTAATATTGTTTACGTAGTGATGACTTACAGATTTTTTTTCTTTGACATTCAA